GGGCATATTGCAGGCAGACCTTTTAAACTTCGGTCCAGTGTGGTCCAGGCATTAATTGCTAAGAATATGCCATTCCAGATAACTGCATAAAGAGACCCACTCAAATAATCTTAATAAGAGAAAACGGCTAGTAAAAATAGTTAAACTTTTTCAGTAGAGGAAAGACACCCATTCTTCAAGGCTTTAGCCTGGGAGTGGGAGCGGTCATAGAAGGCTGGTCACTGAGTTTTTTTGTATTGCCATTGTCCAGATCCTTCTGTAGGCCGCAGTGTAACCCAAATGTCAATGAATCCTGTGTCTTTCAATAAATGAAAAAGAAATACATGCTCTGAAAGAGCGAATAAATATTTCTGTCTTAAAAGAATCCCAACACAATTTAATAGAAACAGCAACACTTGATGTTTAGGGTCCTTATGCTTCTGACAGTAACTGTAGAACTGCTCTTCACCCTCTGGATGTCACTGCAGGAAAGTCTAGGTTATACAAAGATATATGAAATATATGCTGTGCTTATAGGAACAAACCCTATATGATCTTAAGAACCAGTGGGAGAGACCTTATAATTGGAAGGCTATGGGTGCCAGTTTACATACAGTAGCTCCTCTCCTGAGAGACCAGTTATCATTTATGCATGGACACCTTATTTTTGTGGTTGTAAAACTGGCCAAGAGGGTTTGTTTGCATACTTAGACAAGACACAAAAAGTCCCAAAAAGTTTTACAACAAAATATTCACAGAAATTTACCACGTGAATACTGCACCTTTTCCTACATCTGAAGTTGTTTTTTTTAGTACTAACACAAATTATTGACATCGAGTACAACGATATCAAAACCAGACTTACCCATGAGCACTCCACTTTGGAACACTGTGCTGGATAGCAAAGAACTTTTCCTCGGTCACACAAGCAGTAGTCACAGTGACTTCCATTCCAGAGCTCTCCATGGTACCTGACAGATCCATCCACTGTGCAGCTTCCTTTTGTGGACACACATTCCTCACAGCACTGATCTGTTTGCTTTATTTTGGCTTGGCCCTAACAAGAGCAGAGACAAAAAAATAACAGGTTTTCATACCATAACATGCATATATGTTACCTTTAATGTACCCAAACTCACCTATTTCATGTTGCCTATTTTTAATAAATGGCCATTTTGATGCACGTCCCAATGCAAATGCTTTATGAATATATACTGTATGAATAATGTCCATCAGTAACAATAACATGCCATGTATGTGGCCTGCCCTGTGTCAAACTGAGAATACCCATTGGTAACAATGAAACTTCGTGTTTACATGATTATGTAAATGGCTTAAAATGACCAAAAACTGATAACTTTAAACATCGGTGCTGTAGGAAAATTCAATCCAGAAAGTGGACTTACTTAGCATAGTCTCAATGGCTCTTAGCCAATACACAGATAATGATGTGCTGATCTTATTAACCTATACATATGTGTGTGTATTTGAATATCCTGAGGGAGAAAAAGTATTTTGTCAGTTGAATGTTCAGCAATAGTTCACCAACATCTTACGTAATGGACACTTTTAGATTGATTAATTACACTTTTAACAACATTAGTGATATTTGATAGTGTTAAAAGTAATAATGATGTGCACATACAATTACCTATAGCAACACATTCAATTTTAGATTCGCTGTCAGTTACTGTGCTTTGACTTACTGAATGAGCCTATGGGACATCTCCACTGAATCTTTTCTACATTGAACTAAATAAAGATTTGAATTCAGCTCAGGTGACATTGCAGATGAAAGCCTTCTATTCGCTTTAATTTTACTTAAACTCTTCATGAAAACCTTAGGGTTTCATGGGCCCAAACAAACCCATTTACATCAAACCTGAACATACATAATCCATGTCTCCAGGCAATGTTAATATGTTCTCACTAAGAAATATTAGATTACATTACCTTGTTACATGTAAGTGACGAACAGGACTTAGTGTGGCACTTGACCTCTCCTTTATCACAAATACAGGTAGAACAAGGACTTCTCTTCCACTGTGCACCGTGCTGAACAAAAAAAAAGGTAGATATGAACATCTTAAATACTGTATATAATGATGCACATAGACATGAAACAGGGCTCGTTTATGAACATATTGCATAGGAGAAAAGTCACACACTGTCTATGTTATCCATTTCTCTGTTACTACTTGTTATAGCAGGCGGGTTTCACTTAAGACAACCTCTTTTAAGGTTTTTCATGCCCAAGTTTTAGATAACTTAACCTTTACAAGGACCTTGGGAGTATGAGGTATGGCACAAAAGCAATCTAAATGCCTCGAATTTACCCAGTTTCCTGGAACAGTTATCAAGTTGAAAGCCAGATCCCAGTCAGCAGCTCCTGTGTAAGTAAATGTTTCCACAAAAAAAGAAAAAAGCCTGGTCTTTAAACAAAAAAATGACATGTATTTCCTTGATATCATTAACAATTACAAAACTACTGTCAAATTAATAGGTGCAAAGCTAAAATGTAACAACTGCTGTGGGTCATAGGGGTCTCATATAGGTGCTGGAGCCTAAGTAGTTAAATAATAACATTTCCCACATTTGCAAGACCATCCAGATCATAATTTTTCCAAGTAAAAGGATATGCAAATTCTCAAAGAATAGTCAGGTAAAGTGACTTTGAAAAATAGTGAATCTGTTACTTTAAGAACACAATTTTTTTAAAATGCATAAATAAATATTTAGGTCTGGAAAAATGTAAAAAACCCACATGTTTAAGAATAATGTTTCTCATGGCTTCAGTAAAGCAACCGTAATACATTTCGGCTCTGTATGGACTAGTTCTGAGCTTGAAATCTTGTGTGACTTATCTAACACTCTCCTTGATATGTTTGGCATCTCTTGAATTGCACAGAAGATACAGGACTCCTCAGTACAGAGCACAAATACACTAAATATTTTCTAGGGAGGACAAATCAGCTAGAAATATGACCTTTATCAGCAAATGACACACAGGCTTTTGAAGATGTGAGGGCATTGTGAGCACCACATACCCCCACTGCATTCCTATCTGTAGAAATGCAGCTTGCCAGAGAATGCAGTTTTCAAAGGGCTATCCCACTTGGCTAATCTCCTCACAGTAATGTTTCCAAATATCCTAAATTAAAGATGGCAGCACGGGCTGCTCTGTCCCAGTTTATACATTCAACTGAATGATATAGAAAATACAACCACAAGTACACATAAACACTGCCAGTCTTTAATTAAGGCCTACAAAATGTCTCTGTTGTTATGTGCTGTGAAACCAAGATGTGAAAGTTTTATAGGAACTTTTCTTACAAGCAAAGCAGCTGTGTCTATTAACTCTTCTACTATCTGCAATCAATTAAATTAGAAATAGTATTTTGTAGAAAAAGATAGGTTTCTTAGAAACAGCTATGCCAATTGTAGACTTTATTATGTGCAAACATAATGGAACACAATATTACTTACAGAATTATATTACTGCCCTGCCTTATGGCATCACCTATCAAAAAGGTGATGGGGGGGTTTATTTAATTGTGGTGATAGAGTGGTGCGGATTCAGGGCTCCTGTGATGGTTTAAGTGTGGTTTGTGTCCCTGTTGATGAGATGTATCCTCTCTATTTGTCTTGATGACCATTATCATTGAGACAGAAAATTATGGGAAATACAGAGCCAGCTGTGCCAGACCCCTCCCCTGTCTATCCTGACAGTCACTGCTCTCTGGAGGGAGATTGTCGAGAAGTGAGCGAGCAACGGTATGAGTTCTCTCACTTCCTGATCTATTGAGCCGACGTGTGACAGTTTTATTGTCACAGGTCGGCTCGAATTATGAATTGGAGTGATTTTCACTCACCTCATAGTTCTCCTTTGAGCCCTGGATTTCTGGGGTTAATGTAGTGTTAGGGAGTATGCTGAAGGTCAGGTTATGGTTAGTTTTAGGGTCAATGTACTGTTTTAGTGTCAAGATAAAGGTCATTGTTAGGGGAAAGCTAACAGTTAACTGTTAACAGTACATCTCTACATAACATGCTAATTTCTCCATGTTTTGTTTCTTTAAAAGTACAAAAAATACCTGTTGTTCTGCCAGAAATGCAGTGACCAGCTAACTTCCTGTAGTGAGCTGACAATGCTGCTTCTGCGCCCCTTCTGAACTACACCTTTGCCTTGTGTTATAGAGATGAGGAGGGGGTGTTTCTGTAGTTCAGCAGGGAAGAACTCAGGCAGGGCTGATACTATTGCTTTGAATTTCTTTGCCGCAGAAGTGCTGTGTTGCTAGCTCACTACAAAAGATGTGCAGCTTGCTGGATTCCTGGCAGATTTTCTGTACTTGCAGCATTTTTAAAGAGTCAAAACCAGGGAAAATCTGCAGTATTGCAGAGATGTACTGAATACGTTTTGGGGTTTTTCTTGCCCAAACAAACACTTTAAAGGAGAATTATGACCTAAGGGCAAATAAAAATACTCCTTACCTTTATTATATTTGCATTCTTCCTTTTTTCTGAAGTCACAGCACATCACAGATAAAGTCATCAAACCCCACAGGAAACAGCCACCTCCAGCCCTGCTCGAAGCTCCTTTCCTCTTAGGGGGCGTTAACAGTTGATCCAGCCCGCCCTCAGCTTTTTTTTCTCAAATTCTCCTTCTGCTGTGGCCGCGCTTTTTCTCATCGTGCACAGCTGTGTTTTGTCAGAGCGTGCACGCTGGCATTTGGGAGCGGGAGGCGGGGTCTCAAGTGAATAGGCAGCAGCAAGAGATGGTTAGAAGCGAACTGCTGACTTAGCCTCCCTGCACTTTCAGTGCTCTTTCCCTTCCCTCATCAGCGATCTGGATGTCAGCATGACACAGGGCAGGGGGAGAGAGAGAGGGAAAAGAGACCGCTCTCTCTTCATCATTTACCACATATGAGCTAGTCCATATATGGTGAATTATCATGTCACTGAGGATCCCTGCTGATCGGATGCTTGCCAGTCTGCAGGGATCCCCAGTGACATCATTCACCATATATGGACTTGCCCATATGTGATAAATGATGCAGAGAGAAAGGCTCCTTCTCCTCTCTCTCTCCCTGCCCTGTGTGACATTGACATACTAAAATCACTGGGGATCGCTGATGAGAGAGGGGAAAGAGGGCTCTCTCTTCAGCATTTACCACATATGAGCAAGTCCATATATGGTGAATGATGTCACTGGAGATCCCTGCAGACTGGCAAGCATCCGATCAGCAGGCATCCCCAGTGACATAATTCACGATATATGGACGTCACTTGCTCATATGTGGTAAATGATGAAGAGAGACAGAGGACTCCTTCCCCCCTCTCTCTCCCTGCCCTGTGTCACTCTGACATCCTAGAAGAGGGAAGGGGAAGCAGTCCTCTCTCTCTCTTCACCATTTACCACTTATGAGCAAGTCCATATATGGTGAATTTTGTCACTGGGGATCCCTACAGACAGCACGTGGAATAGGCGGTGCAGATGAAGGAGAGAAGGAGGGAGGGGGATCCAAGGCTACACCGCAGCGTGTCTGGAAGGCGGGCACAGACGACGGGACGTGAAGGTAAGGAGAGAGCTGCGTGGGGAGAGCTGCTGCGCATGGTCCATATATTCGTGGACGCGCAGCAGCTCTCAGCGATCACTGTCAGTCACAGTGACGAAGATCATTGGGGAGGATCCCGACAGTATTGTCGGGAACTCTCCTCATTGCAGCGCTTAGCCCCGCCCAGCATGTTAAAGAAGGGTTTACAGGCTTAGGGTGCATTTTGGCTTATAGGAGTAAATTAAACTATTTACTCCTTTAGCCTAAGGAATGCAATAATAAAGAAAAAGTAGAACCCCATAGTTCTCCTTTAAGGATTTAATTTAAGGATTCTGTTGGGGGGGTTCAAAATAACACCCAGAATAAAATGATGACAGGGTTCCATTAGACAGTATCGTGCAACCTCCCCAGTTGCACGTACTTACTTTCCTTGCTCCCCCCACAGTTCCACTCAAATTACCAAGCAACAGTGCTGTTACAATAAAGTAAAGGGAGTGAATCACATACTCTCCATTTCCAGAAGTTTTAGGTATGTATCTTCTTACTGGGTAGCCAAACAGATTGGTGGGAGGTTGATGGAAAGGTAAGTATATGCAAGAAGGCAGAAGTGAACTTGTTGCTTTACCCTGCATGATTTCCAGGGAAAAGGATAGGGTTAAATGTTAGGGTCAGATAGATAATAAACCAGGGGCATAGGAGTACACATTTTATTGCTAAAAGCACTGTGCTTATAAGTTTTTTGGTATTCGGCCTTTAAAAGCCAATGTAACTCGATTTTCTAGTTTTGGTAAAAAAAAAAAAAGCTAATGCCTGCTTCGGAACAACTGTCAACTGCCACATTTTCTCCATTACTCTTGTTTTACCATTAAACAGACTCAATACAGTGAACATGATCAGGAGAAGATAAGAGTCGGGAAGTAGTTTTACTACAATGAACTCAGAAATTACCTCATATATCTTTCCAGCCACAGTACAAGACTTTGGAAGGCACTCGGGACAACACTTTCCAGGAACGACAGCCAAAACTTCATCCTAAAAATATAATTATATGTTTTACCTTTCAGTTACAGAAAGGAAGAAATGCAGACAAAAACGCTTTTTCAATCAACAACTGACTATCAGGCTTGTGTAGACAGGTCTGGATTGACATACTTCTTTTACTACACACACACATGATGGGAGGCCCAGCAAATTCCAAGCACCTCCTGTAATCCATATCACCTTTAACACAGAGGTCTCTCAGTATCACTAAGACACTAGGTGAATTGGCAACATAAAGAATCATATTGTATATAAGAATATAGTTTTGTTTTTTTTACTTCAATTACGGTGTGAAAGTTACTCAATTTAAACCGATAAACAGATTTTGCCTGAAATTAGTAATCTGTACCATTCTCTGACTTCTTATATCTATCACATCTCAAACTGTATCTTTTAAAGTATTAAGTAATTCAGAACAAAACAGGGAGAGTGACACCTTTTTCTACTGATTGTGTCTGGCACAGGTAGGCAGGCCTATGAATTTAAAAGATCTCCCAAGTGACAAAAAATGGCACTTTAATTCAACATCATCTACCCAACATAATTAATACATTTGGATAGACATATGCTTTAAATTCATTTATATTTAAATTAATTCCAAAATACTGTCAAACACTGCTGCTTTACTGTGTAAGTGGGATGGAGTTAACACTAAGCTCATCAGTTTTAGCCAGCCATCCTATAGTCAAATATTTCGCATTTTCCACATTATGAGCCATGCTGGATCGCAAACAATAATCCTCCACTGAGTGGGTCCATGTGTATCTATGTGTGTACTCTGATATTTCAATACATGCATGCTTACTTATTCCATTGGCATGCATGAAAAATGTCACCATTATCGCTGTACTTGATTGTTTTGGACACTTGACCTTGTGAGGCCTATCTCTGCAACAGGTGACATGCAAAAACATATATTTCATTTCACTCCTAACTCCCAACACAAAAAGAAATAAGAGTAAGACAAGGAAAAAAGCAGTGTGATTATAAAACACTGAACATAAATAACAATTATGTCATTTCAGAGGTGAATAAAAAAAACCCCTACATGTTTATGTTCTTCTCCCCCATTAGAGGATATTAACAGGACTATTCACAAAAGGATGAAGAGTTTGGAGAAGACAGGAGAAGTGAACAATCTAGGCCAACATAGCTGAGCTGGAAAGTGAGCTGAATTGGAGAATGTTTCCAAATCAGCTATGTTGTCCTAGATTGTTCACTTCTCCGGCCTTCTCCAAACTCTTCACCCTTTTGTGAATAACCCTGTATATGATTTCCTGTAAGTGCTAGTTAGCTTAGCTGTTACTCGTTTATTTACGTTTGTTGCCATTTACTTGCTCTCTGCAGTATAATATGTGTTTTAGGCACCTGGCCCCTTATAACAGGCATACATAAATCACTCAACATTAAAAGCTTAGTGGTATTTACCTTATTACACAGCATGGGTAGACAGTCTGCTGTGAAGCACTGAGTCACCCCATTCTTGCAGGTACATTTAGAACACTGACTCAGCTTCCATTCCTCTCCATCCTTCATCACATGGCCATTAAGAGAGCAGGATTCTGCAATACAAAGAGACAATGGCCTAACCATGGCTGTGCATGGACTTCAGCAGAGTCATCCGTCTTTTCAGTCCCACCCAACAGCAATGATAAACAATAAGGTACGGTGGTACCTCGGTTCACGAATTTAATTCATACCACGATTCTGGTCGCGAACTGAATCAAATTTCCCCATGAGGTTCAATTTAAATAAGGTTAATCCGTTCTGACCCATTTGAACGTGGTCGAGAACCAATTTTGGTCGCGAACAAAATCAAATTTTCCCATAAGGTTCAATGTAAATAAGGTTAATCCATTCTGAACCATATGTAATTTTTTTTTAACCACAAAAATATGATACAAAGTACAGTACAGTACAGTATGAAGAGAGTGTATACTAACCTTTGCACTTTCTTTGGAGCCATGCTGGATTGAATAATACTGTACAGTACTGTATGTGCTAAAAAGCACACAAAAAAGCTTTACAGCAAGTGTGCACAGGTCTGTCTGCGACAGCGATCTCGACTATAGGAAGCCACAACCATGTGTCAGAGCGGGGAAGATGGCCACGGTCGTGTTTGTCACCAGATTTGGAGTTCGCATATTGAAGCTAAATTTTGCTGAACTTCCTGTTTGCGAACCGAATTATTCGCGAACAGAAGCGTTTGTGAACAGAGGTATTACTGCACTTTATGAAAAGTTCAGAAAAATATCAGGGTCCACTTCTATACTGTCTGTTAATAAATATACTGCAGGCTTACAAATGTAGAATTTCCACTTTTCCCAGTTGCATACTGTATAGAGATGGAATACCAGAACCCCTTTATATGTTTATAATATTTTTTTAAATTACCTTGCTTTTAATTGGTGCAGTAAAATAAATGAAGTAAAGAACAGTTAGCTCAGCGTTACCTGAGAAAAATATTAGCATTCTCAAATATGAACACTGCTCATAGTGGTAAAAATGTAAAGCAGAATTCCAGGCAAACATATTGCAGTGGGGCTAACTTGGAACTGCAATGGTTAAGTGCTCATTTTGGTCTAACGTGCTAAAAAAAAAAGTTATACTCATCGGTTCCTCACAGCCGGCTTGCTCGTAGACCGGTCCCTGAAGCCTCTCTCCCCCTCTGCTGCAGTGGTCTAAGGATCCTTGAGTCATCACATTCTATACACTGTGTATAGGACGTGAAGGCGCCGAGAGACAGCCAGTCGACTTCGTGGTTCGGGTGAGTATAACTTTTTTACCCGGAGCTCTGCTTTAAACTTTAGTTGTTGTCATGGGGTAAATGTTCAACGGTGTTTATGCCACAAATATATAATTATTTCCCATCCTGCACAACCAATAATTCAAGAGCCTGAGCTGTCCTGCTAGAGATTAAACTAAAAGGTAATGGTGGTAATTAATATAAGAAGAAAACTAAGTGAAAAAAAGGCTGTTACTTAATCCTGTACAGTATATAATAAATGTCCACAGCAGATAAGTAAAGGAAAGCAGTAGTAATGGTTGGGTCCGATGAACTCATGCGTCAGGAGCAGCTGCACCCTTTGAAGCTCCCCTAGTTACACTGTGGTGGCATACCTTACATTATTAAATTAATCCGAAAGATATGCTTTATAAATGCCACTGTAAAGGAGCCCATACATTAGTTTGTGTTTATGTTTATTCCTCTGCAAAGCAGAGTTGAAGCATGAGGTAGGTGCAGGCAGATGCTATTAGTACTGCTTATCTCACGCACTACAACAGTGATTAGAACAAGTTTCAGACCTGTCCAATAAATCATTCTCTCTGGTCAGCCACCATCCATATTGGGCGACATTCATCCCATGTCTATGGGCAGGTTAGAAAAATTGCCTGTTAAATGTTAAGTAAATCAATCCCGGTTTACACTGAACCCCACTGGTTCTTAATTTCCTTCTATTAGTTAAGGGCATGTAACACTTTAACCAATTAATGCCAAATCAAATAATGCACCCCCAGATACATTGTGTAACAAATTAGGCCTTCATTAAAGCTATTTGAAATAATGCACGCTAGACCCCTTCCATTGAAAAGAGTCTTTTTATGCGGATAGTAAATGTCAGGGAAGGCATCACGCTAAATGTACTTAATTGGATTCATGGTCTCATTTGAACAATTGGGCTTTTTCCAGTGTCATTAATTAGATGGTGTTGTCAAATATCACGCTGACATGACCAGATAAGCAAGGTGAGAGTCTAAAATTGAACAAAAAGAAAACATTTTAATTAGAGATCCTTGCTTAGTATTCCTTGGGCAGAAAAGGAACCCAATTTAAATACAGGACTATCTACCTTAACTTGCAATAGTTACAGCTTGCTAGTAAATAAAGGTGAATTTTACACTGGCAGTTGTGTCACTTACAGATTTAATTCAAAGGAATGATGTGACTTCTTCAGTTGGATATGATTTAACATCACCAAATTATGTGGAGTGCTCAGAAAAAGCAGTCAACAGAAATTTAAACTATGTACTTTCACCCATGGGAAGAGTTTGGGATGGGATTTTTTTTTCTTGACTCTATAAACGTTAAAGTTGTGTTTATTACAGTCTGTACTCTATCCAGGTCTCCTAGCCATGTTTTAAATATAGAGCAATGACGCTTAATTTCACTTTGGATCAAAAAAGCCATAGAGAAGAACAGGCATATTTTTCCTGATACAGTATATATGCAAAATTAAAAATGCACTAGTTAAAAAACAGCAAGCCCTTAGGTATGTATGAAAGGCACATGTTGAATTAAATATCATGCTTCTTTAACATTTAAATTGAGCTGTTTAGCAAAAAGTACAACTTGGCTAATACTTTTATAATCAAGAGTTTCAATAATATAAGCTATCAGGCTTGGAACTCATTGCACTCACTAAATTGCTCTTTCCTAAGGTGAGATACTGGGTTGGGTCCACATGTACCAGATAGCGGAACTGCCTACAGATGTGTAGGCCAGATACAATATTAAAATTCCACAAGTCCACAATTGCAGTTCACTACAGCTTTAAAGGGACTGTCAGTATGACCAGTAGTGTGATCATGCTAGGTATTATAGTACATTTTCGGAAAAACAAAACTTTCATATAGTAAATAAGTGTACTGTTAAAGTAGTTCATTGTTAAACTCTAAGTCTCCATTCACACTGAGCAACATGGATTATCACGCGCAATTGTCATATGCGCGATATTGTGTGACTTTTCGTATTGGGCTGTAAGTAATCAAGAGCAAAATCACATGACATCCGCACAAAAAAGGGTCATGTACAAGCTACAGCGACGAGCTACAGGCGACATGGAGCTGTGAGATGTGAACAGCTCCACTCCAATGCACTGGACTAAGTACATAGAGCGATATCGCGTGGAAATATGTGCGATTTTGGAACGGAAATGTGCGCGATAAAACGCTCAGTGTGAACGGGGACTTACACTTTTTTCAATACTGAATCCAGATAAACAAATAAACATTTCCCAGCAAAGCATTTCTTAACATTTTTGCACAAAAATTACAGTCATCATGTTTTTAGAAAAGCTGACTCTCTCACCTCTGCTTCCCTGAACTTCCTATCCAGTACAAGATCACAAGGGAGAATGTCTAGCAGCTGTCTATCTACTAGATCAGAGAAGGGAAGAGGTAGTAGGGAAGTGGTTTGTCTTGCTGTGCCAATGTGTTTGTTTCACAGCTTACTAGCACACACAATAGTGGATCCAAAAGACCCTAAAAGGGAAAGGAGCCTCCCTAGAACACGATATTAGGGCCAGTGCCCAGGGGACCAGGGATTCTACAAAAAGCAAAAACTTGTAAACACCAAGGAGCAACATCAATTGTAAGTGAATTAATCAGCATTTTAAATAGTTTAAAATCCTTTTGACTAAAATATTATTTTAAAAAGGCAGACTTGCAGTTAATAGGGGAGGGACTAGGAAAAATAAACTGAGGAAAAGCAATGAATGGATTAGTACAGTGGGCTCCAATTTAATATCCATCTATCAGGGCCCTCCTTACCATCTTGTCTTGAATTGTATTGTGATTGTAATGTCTTCCTTATATTGTAAAGCGCTGTGCAAACTATTGGCGCTATATAAATCCTGTATTATAATAATAATAATAATCATCTGTAAGGCCTGGTTCAAACCAAGGCATTTTTGAGCAGTAAAATACAATTTTTAAGCAGGAAAAGCCCTTTTAAATGCCCAACACAAGAAATTCCATGATTTTCAATTGCCCCTGTGAAAACCTGAGCAGCAAAACACCAGCAGGAAAATGCCAAACGCAGTAAAAAAGTACATGAGCTTCTTTTGGCAGTTTCAAGCTTGTTTTTCCCCCATAGACTTCAATGAAAACATCAGGGAATGTTTGGCAGAAGCATGTTGTATATTTTCGTGCACGTTTTTGAGTGTTTGTACATGCGTTTAACCATTTACCGAAATGTTTCTCAAGCTGCCAGTCAAAACACACATCTTCATGTGCGCGCATTTTAACACATATAAAAATGTGCCAAACGCGCATAAACATGCAAATAACTGTAGGCTCGCCCCGCGTGTATAAACGCACAAAAATGAGATCTAGCAACCTGCCCTTAGTAAACATGGCCACTGTCAGTACACTGGGGACGAAAAGAGAAATAAAGTATGCAAAGAGTACAAAGCCGCCAATTATCTAGAAGTGTGTGTAGATTGTCATTACTAAACATTTCTAAAGCTGTGTTTGTTGTTATTTTTAAGATATAGGTAAAGGTCCACTTTAAATCATCATTCCATTTTTTGATTCTGAAGTAAGGCTGGGCAATTATACTATTCTAACAGCACAGTGCAGAAACCTGCCAGGCGCAGGCTGGCTTGTGAGGGCCAGTTGTTTAATGTCGAAAGATGAGGCTTATGATACAGCAACAGAGAATTGTGAAGCCAAATTTGCTGAAAGGAACTTTAGTGAAAAAGAAATACAAAGGTTCTCAGATGATCAAATTGGTAAGTAGGAATGCCCAAACAGTCTGTGAAGTGCATGCCATCCAAATACTATGCTATATCAGCCAGAATTAGACCCATTACTGTAAAATTGTGGACATTCCTGCAATCAGATGGGCAACTGTTCAAAGAAATTCCACAGCCTGCTCAGATATGAAAAGGAAGATACAAAATAAAAGGTACCTAAACCTTAAAAACATCTTTGGCACTGTATGTCCATGTCATATGTCCATTTACATGCGATTACCTCTGATCAGTCACTTTTAGGTCCAAGGAGGAGGGTGCAAACCTTCTCCATTTTTTTTATGGAATTGAACTGACTTGGAAGTAATCAGATGTAAATGGACATTCGTCCATTTACATCCGGTCACCCTTAGAGTCAGATTTGGCTTCCAATTAGAACCGTCTGAAAAACTGACAGATGTAGTGTGAAAGCGGCCTTATTATTTTGGGGGGTTTTCAGCCAGCAGGTGGCGCTCTAGTGACATTTTCAACACATTCAGCTATTTTAGCTTTCAGCTGTGCCGAAAGAAAATATTTACAGGGGCCTGACTGGGAAAGAAAATGAACAAGAGCAGGGATAAATCATGCATGCTTCCATAAGCGAAGGAATGTACACATACATAGCGAACATAATCTGACTGTATCTAGTATAATTGTACTGCTCTATTTTGTATGATGATATCCACGTTTGCCATTCATATTGAACATCAAAATATTTTTTGCCTGCCTTTTTTTCTGATAAGGTGCATGTCGACAATTTACTATAGCGTGCAGTAAATTGAAATGCAATAAATGTTTCTTTGTAAAAACGAACCGAATCAGTTCTCCCCATAAAGGTCAATGTAAATAAGGTTAATCCGTTCTGACCCCTACGAATGTGGTCACGAGCCAATTTTGGTCGCGAACAGAATAAAATTTTCCCATAGGGTTCAATGTAAATGAGGTTTATCCGTTCTGAACCATATGTAAATTCATTACCGCTCTGCACTTTCTTTTTACCACCATGCTTGCTCTGCACTTTCTTTGGAGCCATGCTGGATTGAATAATACTGTACAGTACTGTATGTGCTAAAAAGCACACAAAAAAGCTTCACAGCAAGTGTGCACAGGTCTGTCTATGACCGCGATCTCGACTAGAGTTAGCTACGACCACATGTCAGAGCAGGAAGATGGCCGTGTTCGTCACCCGATTTGGAGTTTGCGAACAGCAGCAACATTTTTCTGAACTTCCTGTTCGCGAACAGAAGCGTTTGTGAACTGAGGTATTACTGTGTGTGTGTGTGTGTGTGTGTATATATATATATACACACAAGTTTAAATACATATAAACTTAAAGTAACTTTAAAAAGATAACCCAAATCAAATTAAACCAGAACCATTTATGTTTACCTTTAACCCCTTCGTGATGGGAGACGTACAGTGTACGTCCCGTCACAAAGTGGCTATATGACTGGCCACGTACACTGTACGTGCCGAGTTATATTAGCCTCTGTAATACAGTCTTGTACTTTTCCCTGCATGTAAAGTAGATCAAAGCAGATATTTTAATACAAATCTAGTCAGGCCCCACCCGAACTCACTAGTTATTGCTGTTCTCTTATATCCTGGGTGCTTCTTCTTGGGTAACAGGAGACAAAATTATTGGCTACTTACTTTAAGTCTTGCTATATTTGATTCTACTCCTTGTAGTAACAAAACTCTATATGTCCAAATGTACAATCTAATCAGGCATAACATATACAGTAATTAATTTATCTTTAAGCTAGGTACTCAGATAAATCTCTACAAAGTATACCACACACCTCCTGTCCCATAACATATAGGGCAGCATTCTCCTGGAGCCACGACTTCCATTTCTCCTTCTTTGCACTGCGTCTTGGGACAAGGTTTGGAGGCACATGATACCTTGCCATGCTTACACGTGCACATGGTACACTTAGATTGTGCCCACTGTGTGCCATGCTGTAACAACAAGAACAATTATAATTAGCATTTGTAACAAGTGTACTATCTTTTATCATCTAGTATGCAAATGCCAGGCTCTTGTGTTATATTAAACTAAAAACATTCAAAAAGAACATACAAAACCAAACACTTAGATGCCCTAAAAGAAATGTTATATGAATTAGCTGTGTATAAATAGAACCCATAGGGCTGCCAAACATTTTTATTTATCTACTACAATTTACAAGATTATATCTCATAAATTTACTATGGTACATTTTCATGTATTTTCATGATCTTTCCACTCAAGGTTTGCAAGCCATGACACTCAACAGAACTAAGCTGCCATGTTGCCAAAGTTTGAAAAAACACAGAACAGGTTAAAGGATTGGTCTATTAAAAATGTTAATAGCTGTTTTCTGTTGATCTGAGTTCCTCACTAGCTTCTAATATCTTTTAGAGATTGTGGTGTTGTGATATTTGCACCTATAGAATACAGCAGGAAAATGCAGAAGGAGCAATACAAGAAATTAGACTTTTTTTTACATGCGTGAGGTCTGTATTTACCATAATGACACTCATGCGTCAGCACGTAGGCCGGTAGGGACACAGACTGAAGCATCAAGCACCTAATATTAGCAAATGGCAATAAACATTTTCTTATTTTATTTTTTTTTGTGTAACCTCTGGCACTGTGTGGCTGAATTAGGCAAATGTACTGTAGGGGGTGTCTAGAGAAATATTAGGGCCCTAAAGTTTAGGAAATATTACACCATTTGCCTTTTCTCTAGTTTAGTCTAGTGTGTAAAAGGACAGAAGTTTTTTCAAATATGCCATGATTTAGGGCAGCAGGATGTCTTACTATTGTCCTCATGGAGGTAGAGGTGATGGAGCTAAAGACTACATGAAGGTGGAGGTAATGGAGTTGAAGATCTTGACTCTGGTGCCTCTGACAAATAAAAGCCAGCCCGTGATTCAACCCACTGGCATCAGTTAGCAAATTGAACACAGTCAAGCTGCACTTACCCTTGCAAATTATAAAAATAATTTGAAATGTTTCTAACATTATAAGGATCAATGCAAAAAGGATGGTCAAATATCTTTACAGCATATATACGTCAGATCCATACCCTTTAAATTAAAATAAATATATATACGAATTAGAGGCAGCAGGGTTTCTATCAGCCAACTTAATTTAGTATTGTAGCATCACCTTCCATATTTACAGCACAATTATTCGCATTCAAGCAACCGGCACTCTCAAGCAACCGGCAAAAATGAATAAAGGACATAATATGTCCTCCATTATTTTTTTTTGGCCAGTGGCTTGATGCACACTAACAGAACACGTGGTAGAAAGCAGAAAGCAGAAATAATGGTGAGAAATAGCTAGCCTGCTATTGGCTATTTCCATTTGCAATAGCAGCCGGGCTACTATGCCCGCCCACTGAGCAGAGAAGCGGACCTGAGAGAGAACTTTCTATCTCAGGTCCGCTCCTCTGCTCAGTGGGCTGAGCCAATATTGGCTATTGCAATTACTATGCCGTTACTGTTAACTCTCAAGCAACCAGGAACTACAGTTATCCAGCACCTACCGAACCCAAAGGGTGCCTGATAATTGGGAGTTTACTGTATATGGCATGTTAATTTTTACAGAATCAAAAATAGGTATATTCAAGGTATAAATCTTTTAGGAGGCTCACTGCAATTATTTGACAAATGTGCAAGAGACAGCCAAGTGCAGGCCATTACTACATTAATGTGATGCACTGTTGCTTTTAGGAACAGCCAAAATGTTTCTAAAAACACAGCCATCACATATACCACTTGTATTGTTGTAACTCCCTCTCTAAATCTTCTAAACAAATGCACTACCATTTGCTCTTATTTACTAAGGGAGGCCAAAGTGCAATGACTATGGGCAAAAGGCAGTGGGCAATGACCCTCCACGACCTCACGTCTAATGCAAGTCAATGGACCTGCATTAGATGTGATGACGTCAGCGGTCCTTAGACCACCGGAGCCCAGGGGAGAAGAGGCTGTGGGAACTGGTCTTGCAGCCCAGAGGGAACCAGCAGGACAAAGGATTACGTTAAGATTAACGAATGGCCTGTTGAAACTAGGGAGTTATCCATGTTATTAATTTTACTATACAGATCCCATATAAATGGAAAATTTCCCTGTAAACTGGAAAACACCTTCAAAGCAGCTTAAGAACTTTTTAGTGATTGCTATGTAAACATGTTAGGCTATGAGAACTAAAGATATACGAGTTAAAGTTGTATAGTACTTGAAGACATTTAACTCCTGGTCCAGAAGTGGTTATATTAAGATCATGGCTGATGATGATGATGAGCAGGCAACGCTCATTTTGTACAAGTGATCTGGATGGCTTGTAGCAGCCTGTATAGGTGGTGTGTAAGGTAGTCTGATCAGCGAGGCTGGAAGCGCTGTACTCAAAGCGCTTCCTGCTTACAGCTGTCACAAAGCCCACTGAAGTGCCGGTTACACAGGCGATCAGCACAACGAGGTCCTTAATCCCCTGTATTGAAGGCCAGGGGAGACATAAGGGGTCCAACAGACCCCTATTGTCTCTAAAAAGAGAAGCTGTCACCTCGAAACGCTATCAAATAAGGGAATGTTAGCCCCTGGGTGATAGCAATAAAGTGAAGTGAAAAAAATAAATAAAAACGTGACAAAATAAAATAAAATAAATAATTAAAAAAGAAAAAAATTTAAACCAACCCTGCTACCCTCACCATCTGTATGAGAATGAAAAATGTAGGGCATGCACGTGTATGTAAACGACTATTGTGCCATACATGTGAGGTATCACCGCAAACGCCGGAGTGAGAGCAATAATTCTAGGACAATAATAGCCATAGTTTTTCACCATTGCACAGGCGCGCACACCATTGCACAGGTGTGCACAATCTTAACACTTTACATGCTTGGTATCTCTTTACTCAATGTAACCTCTCTTATATATTTTACCAAAAAAGGGTATTAAATTGTGTTTGTGTGCACTAACATTAATTTAAGTGCTTTTTTTCCTAAAAATATAAATTTGATAAACATTTGCGCAAATATCAGGGCTTCTGCTTTCAGAAAATATATAATTGTTTGGGGGTTTAAAGTAATTTTCTATCCAAAAATCCAGATTGTAGTATTTGTATGCAAAAATGACAAAATTGCTCCGGTACTGAGCTGGTTAAATACATGCAGCTGACTGCAAGAATTCTCTAAGATTACTGGCAGCAGCCTCCAGTAAATGTCTTTTTCGCTAAAATGATGGATAACAATGAACAGTAGCCAATTCTATTATCTCAAATACTTGAATCCTAACAGTGTCTTTTTTCCTATAATTTAACCTGTATTCAGGCTATTACGATAAGAGTAAACTAAAAAAAAAAGTGAAAACAACAGTGGGCTACAAAAATAGGGTTAAAAAAACCCATCAGCAGTTATGGGTAGTGCTGGCTGGTAGTAATTAACAGTGGCCTTTACTTCTCCAGCGCAATTTGTGTGTTATGCCTCTATCACAAGACAGGAGGTGACGTTTGCAGTCACCTTACCCTTTCATTAAATTGGATACACTTTTTCTGACAGAAGGATTAATGGTCCTTGTGCTGGGTCTTCTGAAAGCTGCTGCATACAGACCTTAGCAGCATGATGAGAACATTCACAGCAGTGATTAGGGCTGTTTCCATGACCTGCATGGCAACCTCTGCAGCACTGTGCCAAGTTCCCAGCCTCACAGCTTCTGGAGCAAAATGCTCATCTGAAGGTAGGTCATGTGGAAATAATAACGCTAACCTGCGCTGACCTGATATCTGTGAGAGATAAACAACGATGCCTCACTAATCTCTCATATATTTCATAACTAGGCCTTTATAAAAATCTATCTCTCGGGCTTTAATATCAATGTCAGCGCAGGCTGGACAATAATGAGGAGCAAGCACAGCATGAACGCAAATTATCTAACCATTTCCTGTGATGCAAGGGCTCAGGTTAAGTATAGTTTATAGGAACTTAATTAATAAAAGAAACCGCACATACACTGTACATGTATTATATGAAAAGGTCTAGGGCGATATTTAAGGTGGCAAACAAACGGGTTTCTGGCATGCAATACATAGAAATTAAAGCTGACAAAAATCTAAACTCTTGGACAAGAAAATCTTGCAGTGGGTCCCCCTCCTGAATACAAGGGTTATCTGCTCCTTTTGTCTAGGAGGTGATCATTAAGGTGATATATTTACCTTATTTCTCACTCCTCCGACCGCCAGTGCTCCACGTTGTGGGTTGGCATCGTGGCTGGCCTCCAGTACAATGCAGGACTGCTGATCCTGCATTGTATAGGATGACGTCAGACAGCTGCGACTAGTCAAACAGTGAGGGCTAGTTAACACCAAGCGCGGAGCAGGTCCAGAGCAGAGCAGGTGCAGACCGGATCAAAAATGTATTCCTATGGTATTTTTAGCTCCAGTTCACATCGCAGCGTGCAGATCCAGAGTAGGTCCAGAGCAGGTGAAAAAAACTGCAGCAGGCCCTATTTTTCCTGCTCTGGATCTGCAAACGCATCAAAAACGCGTCAAAAACGCATCTAAAAGACTAGCGTGCGTGTGCAGAAACCTGACCGGATCTGCTCTGCATTTGGTGTGAACAAGGCCTGAAGGACAGAGGCTTTGGGGGACTGGTCACATGAAGAGGAAGGAATAAGATATAGCCTTTTTCATCACGCCCTTGGAAAAAGCAGCAGTTAACCCTTGCAGTGGTTAGAGGGAGCCCATGCAAGGTTATAGGATTTTGTTTCCACGGAGGTTAGCTTTACAGGACAAATATCGCCATGCTGTACAACTATCCTTAAATATGTTTTTTATGACTATGACCACCCTTAGCTAGTGTAAGGCAACCAGTTCAAGGCTGGAATTCAATTCATTAGTAAGTTTTCATTGTAAATGGTTTTACATTTTGCAGTTTCTCTTACCCCTTTCTTGCTGTATTGGTGTATGTGCTGTCTTAGCACCACTGTGTCATATCACTTGTGGACATTTATGTCGGTGGTCATTGTATTAAATTGCTGAGATGCACAGTACATGTGTCTCTAAGTAGTATGAACTCCGCTCAGCTAATTTGTGTCTTTAAGAAAATGTATATTGTTTTTGTATATTTTTTATTAATGATATTAATGAATATATTTTCCTTATTTTTTTTGTAATCAGGCAAACACAATATTTTTTTTCTAGTAGGCAGTAGGAGCTTAAGGCTTCTTTTCACATGTTTACCAGGCAAATTTCAATTATCTGTCTAAAACATGTGTCTACAATGCTCAATGGCTGATGCTAAAGTCACATACAGTACATAGCTGTGCTCCATAAACTAGGGGAATAATAACTCAAGCCCTCCCTCTCTGTTCTCTTGTTACAGGGCCCTAAAGAGATAAATTTATGAGATTACCGGGCTGTGTCTTTAGAAAACACAGAATGCTCTGCAAACCATAGTCTTGACACATCCTGTATCACAACATATGTCATCTGTACTCAGTGCTGAGATATTTCAATCCTATTGGGTGCATTTATGAACTTTCACCTGAAAGTCACACATTTTTCCATTAGAATCCAATTAGAAAATGTATGAATCTAGAGTGAAAGTTGTGTGACTCTTGTGTAAAGACATTAGACCCCCAATATCTAGGTATTTAACCCATTAAATTGCGAGACTGTGATGCTATATGCTGAAAAATCTTCCCGTGAACAGATAAGCCAGAATCTGCAACCTCACCAACCCTTTTTACAAAGAGTAGACTTACTCTTTCTTTTACAAAGAAATATGGCCAATTCAGAAGAGAGCCTGAGCATTTAGGGAGAAGATCTTAAACTGTTTGGGAATTAAATTAAAAAACTTGGGACATGTGTCCTTACTAGTAGAAAAAAAGCCTTATATAAAATAACACATAGCAGAGTCTGTAAAACTTTAATAGTAAAATGTTTGGAAGTACACATACTTCAAGGGCACTTGATCTAAGCAAAACATGCATCTCTTCCAATTACATGTCCTATTAATGAAGCTTCACTAATTCCCTTTCCTTCAGAAAAACTGGAGACTTTCCACTAAAGAGGCATTTTATGCTGTGAAAATGTGAAATAGTCCATCACTGAAGCTGGTTCTAGCAGCCCTTAATAGGGTATTTAACTACCTTACGTCCATGGCCGTTTGTGAACGGCCAGATGGACGTCTGCAAACAAATATACTTCACAAAATACTTAGTGGAAATGTGATAAATGCTGAATTAACATTATACTATGGGTCACAAAGAATGATAATATATACAGTCACTGGCCACTTTATTAGGTAAACCTTGCTAGTACAGGGTTGGACCCCTTTTGTCTTCAGAACTGCTTAAATTCTTCATGGAATTGATTCAACAAGGTGATGGAAACATTCCTTAGAGAGGTTGGTCCATACTGACATGATAGCATCATACAGTTGCTGCAGATTTGTGGGCTGCACATCCATGATGGAAGCTCCACCAGCCTGAACCGTTGATACAAAGCAGGATATATCCATGCTTTCATGTTGTTTACATCAAATTCTGACCCGACCATCCGAATGTTACAACAGAAATCGAGACTCATCAGACCATGCAACGTTTTTCCAATCTTCTATTTTACAATTTTGGTGAGTCCTTGCAAACTGTAGCCTCAGTTTCCTGTTCTTAGCTGAGAGAAGTAGCACTCGGTGTGGTCTTCTATGGCTGTAGCCCATCTGCCTCAAGGTTCAATGTGTTATGTGTCCAGAGATGCTCTTCTGCATACCTCGGATGTAACGAGTGGTTATTTGAGTCACTGTTGCCTTTCTATAAGCTTGAACCAGTCTGGCCATTCTCCTCTGACCTCTGGCATCAACAAGCTAGAGAGCTGCCCCTCACTGGATATTTTCTCTTTTTCAGACCATTCTCTGTAAACCCTAGATATGGTTGTGTATGAAAATCCCAGTAGATCAACAGTTTCTGAAATACTCAGACCAACCCATCTGACATCAACAACCATGCCATGTTCAAAGTCGCTTAAATCACCTTTCTTCCTCGTTCTGATGCTCGGTTTGAACTTCAGCAGACCATCTTGACCATGCCTACATGCCTAAATGTATTAAATTACTACCATGTGATTGGCTGACTAGATATTTGTGTTAACGAGCAGTTGAAGAGGTGTACCTAATAAAGCGGCCAGTGAATGTATATCTACTGTATAAAAAAAAACATTTACTGAGAACTAAGAAAATATAAACACAACTGTGTTCATTAGTGACAAACACTGATCTAAAAGTAGGATTTGCAAGCAATGGTTCCTACTCACAGTCCCTTTCAAGTGAAAACAACATTCTATAAAAATGATAAATCATCATTTCATTTGCTATTGATAGTACAAAACCTGCTTTGAGCATAACAGCTGTTTACTTGTGATGTGCAGCTCTATTGATATTCTTTATTATGAATTTGTCACTTCTGAAAACCTTTACTGACAAATGCGCATTTATTCAAATTGTCAAATGACAAAAGCTTCCGGAAACCAGAAGATGGAAACCTGGTTAGTGATCAATCAATAAGAAAGGACAAATAACCATTGTACAAAATGGTAACATCTGTGTGAATAATATTTACTGCAGTCATTTATCATACTAGATTAATCTTGAAGGGACAGTATCATACAATATTGCTGAGCTCACATTTTAACATGGACCCTTCAGTAGCTTTGCAAGGCTGCATGAGTACATGACTGACATGTCACAATATGCCGCAGCAGTATAGTTTTCAAAAAATTGGCTGTTCTTA